GATGCTACTGCGCAACACTGGTGACTGCGCAGTCATTTGGTACCTGGGTACACAGTAACAACTGCGTGGTCAGTGTCTTGTGTAGACACAGTCAAGAGCAATTAAAATACAGTGAGCAATGTGTAAAAAAAAAAAATGATTTCAGATCCTGGAAAGCACTTAGGCTCATTGAACACAGTATTCTCAACCTCACTGTTTCAGGTTATTCTGTTTTAATCTTCTGAAATGGGTTGGCTTCTTTCACACTTCATTTCAACAAGATCACAGGAGCCAATTTGTCCTAGTAGTTTCATAGTTGGTCGGGTCAGAAGGGACCTTGACAGATCATCAAGTCTGACCCCCTGCCGTGGCAGAAAAGAGCACTGGGATCAAATGACCCTGGCAAGGTGTTCATGTAACCTCCTCTTAAAGACCCCCAGGGTAGGAGTGAGCACCACTTCTCTTGGAAGTTGGTTCCAGATCCTAGCCGCCCTGACAGTGAAGTAGCGCCTCCTGATGTCTAGCCTGAATCTACCCTCTGTCAACTTATGGCCATTGTTCCTTGTTACCCCCGGTAGTGCTCGGGGGAACAGGGACTCCCCAAATGCCTGCTGGTCCCCCTGGTAAGTTTGTAGACAGCCACCAGATCCTCCCTCAGCCTTCTCTCGTGGAAGTTGAACAGGTTCAGGTCCCTCAGTCTCTCCTCGTAGGGCCTGCCGTGCTGCCCCGACCATGCGGGTGGCCTCCTCTGGACCCTCTCTCCATGCTGTCCACATCCCTTTTGAAGTGCGGCGCCCAGAACTGGACGCAGTACTCCAACTGTGGCCTGACCAGTGCCACGTAGAGGGAGAGGATCACCTCCTTGGACCTGCTCGTGTTGCATCTGTGGATGCATGACAAGGTGTGGTTGGTCTTCCTGACCACGTCCCCACACTGTCGGCCCATGTTCATTTTGGCATCAATAGTGTCTCCAAGATCCTTTTCTGCCTCTGCACTGACGAGAAGTGAGTTCCCCAGCCTGTAGGTCTGCTGCTGGTTCTTCCTCCCCAGGTGCAGCACCTTGCACTTGTCAGTGTTGAAACCCATCCTGTTCTCATCCGCCCACCCCGGTAACCTGTCTAGGTCCGATTGCAGCCTATTCCTCCCTTCCAGCATGCCCACATCCCCCCACATCTTAGTGTCATCAGTAAATTTGAACAGGGTGCTTTTTACCCCCTGTCCAAGTCATTGATGAATGTGTTGAACAGTGCGGGTCCGAGGACCAAGCCCTGGGGGACCCCACTGCCCACATCCCTCCAGGTTGAAAATGACCCGTCCACCACCACTCTCTGGGTGCGGCCCTCCAGCCAGTTAGTGACCTATCTGACTGTGTAGGTGTCGACACTACAGTCCCCTAGTTTTTTAATGAGAATGCGGTGAGAGACAGTGTCAAAGACCTTCCTGAAGTCCAGAAATAGACTATGTCCACTGCTAACCCTGCGTCTAAGGATTTGGTGACCTGGTCATAGAAGGCCACCAGGTTGGTCTGACAGGACCTGCCTCAAATGAACCCATGTTGATTGCCCCTAAGCCTAACCTCCCCTGCTGCCCCTCATGGACATGCGCCAGGATAATTCTCTCAAAAAGCTTACCCAGGATTGTCATAGACAACTGGAGTTAAACACTAATGCCCTATGACACTGGAAAGCTGGGACTGCATGCAGCTTTCACATGGTATAAAGGAGTGGTTTCTAGCACTGCAGGTCAAAACAGTACTCAAGAGTCATATCGGAATAAAAGTAAGGAAAAAGAGCACGCTAGTTATTAAAACGACAGGCCTATAAAAGGTCCTGCCTTCTGACCCACCAAGCAAACAAGAAAAAGGCTATGCAGTAGCACACTTCCCTTGCAAGCAAGCTACAACGCCAAGCTTTTCAAGCATATACGACAATTTTTCCTTGATTTTATAGCTCAAGTAATATACTCTGACCCTGTTCTGCTCCTTCGGTCCGAATGCACTTTTCCAGCACGTCATCGGTGACAAATATCAAGTCCTATCACAATGGGACAGCGATACAGGCTTCAGGAAACACAAGGAAGAGTGCTTTACCCTCTAACCATGCTTCTTTTTTCCAAACACCTCTCACTGAGACCTGAAACTCCTTTTAGGTGGATGGCATCATACCAATTCTGTCCTTGACAGAACAAGGAGCAATGGGCTCCAGTTGCAGCAAGGGACGTTTAGGTTGGATGTTAGGAACAACTCTCATGAGGAGGGTGGTGAAGCAGTGAAACAGGCTACCCAGAGAGGTGGTGGCACCTCCATTCTTGACGGTTTTGAAGACCAAGCTAGACAAAGCCTTGGCTGGGATGATGTAGCTGGGGATGGTCCTGCTTGAAGCAAGGGGTTAGACTAGATGTGTCCTCCTGAGGTCCCTTCAACCCTCATGGTCTATGAGTCTATGAATAAAATCAGACATTAAAGCCCAAGTGGAATTTGCTCTATACAGAAACACTCTCGCAGACAAGTAGGTGATACTCTTTTGGCATATTTACTACACATCCCCCTGTCCTTTAATCCCCATTTGCCTCCATTTCCTTTTCTGGGGGGAAGGGGGGCCAGGAGGGAGAAATCATCTCTTTATTCTGCAGATACACATGCAACAGAAAGAAGCTAAATAAAATCCTAGGTAGAGCCCCAGCTGGTATAGTGCCATCGCTCTACTGACAGCAATTTAGCAAAGATGATCGATGCTAGCCGAGATCTCTACAGCACCAGCTCAAAGCACTGCATTCCTGTTAGTGTCACTGTACTAGGGAAGGGAAGGTGCAACATTTCACTATATAGTGCAGGGGTTTTCGACCTTTTTGGGTCAGTGTAGCCCCGGCGGCCAGACACAGAGCAGTGCACCCCCAGCAGCTGGATGTGGAGCAAGGGGGGGGCAGCCACCACATGTGAGCTTCCCCTGCCCCTCGTGTCCACCCAGGCGGGCAGTGCCTGAGCACAAGCGCGGGATGGTGCGTGGCAGTGCTCCATCTCCGCCTGCCCGTGCCCCCCCCCCAGGGCCTTCTCAAGTACCCCCCGGGGTACACGTACCCCCCTGCTATAGTGCATCAATCTTCAGAAGGACTTTCAACCGAATACTCTTTAAATCTTGTTTGGCAGCACATTAATAAGACAAATTAAATAGTACATGACTTTTCAAGAAAAAGCTAAAAATGCTGGCTCGAGTTTGTTTTTCACTACAGTGATTTTAGGAGATTCTGCCCAGGTCTCCCACAAGCATTCAATACAGAGTTGGATAAAATGATATAATGAATGTTTATCCTCTGTTACTCAGCAATGGAGAGTTACCCCAAGTGCTAGAATTCTTGCTGTGTTAATCTTGAGCCACCAAATTGCAACGACTTCCACGTAGGCGTGAAAATAAAGCACTGCGGGCACGTCTACAGAAGACATTTACTGCAGAGTTGCTTAATTTGCTCTGCAATAAATGTCTCAGCATCTACAAGTGCAATGCTATTAGGGTAAGGTAAACTAATTAACTCCGTAGTAGGTTAGTACTTGTAAATGCAAGCACTATTCTACCGCAGCACCACACATGTAGATGCTGATGGGTCTGGCTAGGGCACGAGGGTGCTTCAGTGCGGGGCTATGCAGCAGGCTGAGCCTGCACTGAAGCACCCCTGTGCCCCAGCCGGCTCCTCTGCAGCACACCGAGTCAGCTCAGAGCAGTCCAGGGCTGGGAGGCTGACACCCCCGGGGCCCTGTGTCAGCCAGGACTGCACCGACCCAGCTCAACATGCTGCCTGTCCTAAGCACATGTTCGCATGTGGCACCTGGGATCAATAAACTCTGGTGTAATACATACTGGAGTTTATTGCTGTGCATTAATTGCATACGTAGGACATGCCCATTATGTACTCTATCGGCGTCATACAAGCTGATTAAAGCCAAATAATACCATTGTGTTATCACCTATATTTTAGAGACTTAAAAAAAGCAAGTAAAAGGGAGAAGTGACTTGCAGAAGGCTTTTGAATGACAAGGTCAATGTCAAGAACCAGATTCCCACTTTACATAACCAGACCCGAGTTCACCACACTAAAGCACATGTTGCACTCATGTTTGGAACTGATCCATTCTATAATTTCAGTAAGAGTAAGTATTTTATCAACTTGCTTTTGAGAATTAACAGTCCAACAGATACTTTTGTCAAAGAAAAAAAAAGGCACTCAAAGTAAAACTACAAACCTTGATTTTGTTTTTAAATGACCCACAGTCGTCCCTCATCCAATCCCTCCACGCCCTTCAAGAAAGTGCATGGAGTAATTTTGGTTAATAACAAATCCACCAAAACCTGTTCTGCAGAGTCATTTAACGAGCCGAAAAACTGAACATTCACTGACAAGACAGTATATAAATGTACTAAATAAAGTGCTGCATAGAAGCAAGGAAGGTCTGCCTAATAAAAGTAGCCTTCTACTACTGCAAAATAGTCAGCTTGCTAGTAGTAACTTACTATTAGTAACTACTAGTAATGTACTAGTACTAGTTACTTATTCCTAACAGTAATTAACAACTACTTTTTTGGACTATCTGTGTATGTGCTCATATGCTACAACTCCGTATTTCCAGATTTCTGCTTGTAACGAGAAGAAAGCACTAAACTTCCCGCCTCCCTCACCTCTTTCTGAAGGGGTAGGAGAGCATGAACATTGTTATTTTCAATCCTCTACCCACTTCCAAACCCCAACAGAGAGCGGAAAGCAGGCAGGCAGAAGGTTATATATTTGTCCACAACAAACTGACTGGCCCAGATATTTGTGTGGTACCATACCAGATTTGCTAGTCGACAATGTGCTCCCTCAAAGAGGCAATATGAAAGACCTCTGCGGGTAAAATTTTCAAGCCAAAGCCTGACAAATAAGGTTCATGTCCAAATGGACACTGGTGAGATGTTTACGATCAACGAAGTGAAAAAATGCTTCTCAGGTTTCAACACTAAAACTTCTAACTTTCCAAGAAATACTGTGCAAAAGGCTTGGGGGCCTGCTTTTAAAAAAAAGCTCTAAGAACATTTTTGGAGATAATAGCTGGACCCTCACAGAAAACTACTTTGAGGCAAGCTGCTGGATTTATGGTAGGTGAAGTTATCTCTGTACATGCCCAAACAGCATATCAACATCTCTGAATCAAAGCAGTAATATTCAGTAAAACACAGTACACTGAAAACAAATCTTACTTTTATTACCAATGCCAGAGATGAATGAGATGTATGTAGTTATCCAGTCCATCTCCCTGAAAGTACTTTCTTCATATACTTCATTTCAGGCTCAACCATTTCAAGGAAGCCTGATCCAAAAGCTAAGACATCTCATGGTTCAGAAATTCACCATAGCTTTTTCCTAATCTCTCTTTATATACCAAATTATATCAACTTGGACAGTCTTTCTTGCTAGTGTTCAGATCCCTCAACAGTCTTTAGGGCAAAGCTACATATTTACGTCTTGTAACTGCTCCCCATAAGTCACTCCTTTTAGCTCCTTGATCATTTGGTTGCTCTGGTAAAACAAGGAAAGATTTTTACAATGACACGAATGCCCTGAAATTAACAGTCTAAAGGCATCGGCTCTCTGGCTTGAACTGCGGGCCAAAATCCAGTTCAGGTCATTACATTCCTCTGTGCAGGTTTAGCTGAATAAATACGTTTCACTTCCTGCCCCAAAACATTTTGTACTGTTGCAGCATGTTGCTGTTGAATGGTCACCACAGGGCGTTCAGGAAGATATTTTACAGAGGCAAGTGAAACCATTCTTATGTAATTTGTAAATATGTTTGAATTTCAGAGCCAAAGGCATCATTTTAAAGGATGAGAATGATGATTATGAAACAATGAAGTCTGCCTGGTTGCTGCTACCCAGCAGTTACCTGTGTTGACTGGATCACTGTAAGGTCATTAATGTAGCAAAAGCCTGCTCCCATAGCAGAGCGAAGGCCAGCAGTCCCAAATGTCAGCCTGCAACAGAGACGATCCCGCAGCTCTTTATCCTTCCCATTCTGTAACAGGTTTTCAATCTGCTCTTTTGTTTTTGGGTTCTGTAAAAGAGAAAGTGAAAAGTTTCAGTTTTGTTACCACCAGAGGAAAAGCAGAGCCACGCATTACTGCCTCCATGAAGTTAGGGCAAGAATTTTATTTAACATCTGTACAGGTAATAGCAGGAAGTCTGCATACATAACTAATGCTGTTTTATAATATTTTCTTGCAGTAGCTTTGCCATTTCTAGCACACTTCCTCTACTCAAATACCCTTACTTATACACGACTCGATTACAACAGCAGAATATATTTCAGAAAAATATTCCTTTCCAACAGCATGGCCTATCACCAGGTCCCCTTACAGTAGCTGATATCTCAAGGAATTTGTCTCGCCTACCACCACTATACAATATAACTTCTCATAAATTGTGGTTATGCAAATTGGAAATGTAGAGACCAAACAAGAAAAATGTTCAGTCTGGTAGTCGATGGGAGTCGGTCACCTAAAGATGTGGTTGGAAAATATACCCGCTATGCTATTAATTGCCTAGAACTAATGCAAAATTATTCCTTACTCTCATTTTGGGCATTTTCGTTTTGTTTTTAAAACTTGGTTTAGTCATGCTTTAAATCACACAAGCTGAAGGGTTAAGCAGCAAAGGCTATTATCCCTACCACCACACCAAAGGCTAGGACTGTCATTTTGATATTTCATATCCTTTGCCTTCTAGGCCTCTCCAAACAGGCTAGAGCAGTCTCTGAGCTTCCTCCTGTGGGGAAAGAGGGTCCACGTACATGAAACCTCCACAAAGAAAGAGAACGTGTTGCCTGCATTGCTAAAATGTTGGGGATTTCTTTTTACTACCCTCCAGGGCCTTTGGTTCCTGCAGAAAACATTTCTGATGTTAACCAGGGAACAGCGTAACGAGCCAGCTTGTGGTTATGTGTCCTTAACACCTTCTCCACAGCGTCAGTCACATATTGGATAAAGGGTCACAAACTTCCCTAAGCTCCCTCCTTGCTGGGATGACTCCGCTCATGGAGCAGTTTGGGTTCTTCTACAAATTTACCCCCCAAAGGCTTCAAAATTACCAGGAATTGGGGGGGTGGGGAAATGAACATGCTGATTTAGGAAATATCTTTCATAAGGTCCAGATGATCCCAAGAAACCACTGCATTGCTGAATGTTGCATGCTGCAAAAGCTGTGTCCCACCAGGGAAAAATGGGTCCCGCTCCAGTAGGAGCCTCTTACGACAATGCAACCGCTATAGCCCAGTTCAGAAGTTTCATGGGAATGATAAATATGGTCTTGAGATCACCTGTCATTTATATAATTGCCTGACAAAAAGCTATGTCTGCCCAACACTATGGCTAATATAAAGTAAAGGAAAGCAAAAGACTATGGGGTCTATGGTCATTTTCATTATACAGCACACAATGATTAGATATGGGGGGAAAATGCAATGGTACCACCTTTCCTCAAAATGTTATTTCTGAAATAAAGTTACCCACGTGTTTATTGATTACAGTGACAATTCCCTCTATTCTCCAAAAAAATTCACCGCCTTCAAACAATGGAAGCATACATGAATATTTCTGACTTGTGCATTTAAAATCCCGAACATAACACTGCACTAACAACAAAAAGCCTTATGGAGTTGTTGCGCTGAGTCTCGTTCCTTGTATGCCATATCTTCAAATGTTTAAAAACTACCAAACATTCACAGTAATAAGCATAGAGGGTAGTGCCTTTCCCCCCAGAATAGACTACTGGAGGTAACTATTAAGATAAGAAACAGATTTAAAGCTATTTAGATAGGTCCCAGGTGCCTTAATTACAACCTTAGTCTTTTAAACTAGACACAATCCCTTGTCAGCAGACTGCACTTAATTAGCCAATAGAGCGAACACATTGGCCCATCATGAAATAGGCACTTAGTGAGTGACTTCACTAGCCAGAACACTTGTATTCTGTATGCTTATCAGGTTCTATATTTTTCTGTTTGAAATAACGTTAGACTAAAATCAGTAAAATGCACATTAAAAGTAGATGCAGTGGTCTGGGGACAAGATAATATAAGATCCCAACCCAAGAAAACGTGTTAGTGTCAAAACAAAACAAAGAACAATAATAATTTTTAAAAATAATGGAGTAGCCTGGAAATCCTAGCGAATGATACCAATATAAGCTGGTACAATGCAAGTTTTAAGCACGCTTCTGTAGTAACACAAGTGTGGAAGAACTGTTGCAACTTTATCCCCGTTTCATTTAGGGTTAAAATTGCAGTGATTTAGCCCACTTGCATTGCTTATATGAGCATTTGTATTGCTAACAGTGCAACAGCTGATGTATTGCAGTCTGACGTATTGCTGACTGCAATAGCTGATGAAATATTCAGCTGCATTCCTCCTCCCTTTCAAAAAAGGTTGAAATGTATGCCTGTCTATAGACAAAGAGTAGCCAAATGATCAGACCAGCCAAAACAGGGATCTGTTAGGACAAAGAACTGCCCAGCTTTGACTGGACCATCACTGCTCAGTCCCAAATGACTGTCTGCCCCAATCACTTTCTTTCAGTCTCTTCACATCACTTGTACTTGCAACTTGCCCTGTGTCCTCTGCACTCACTTCCCTAGACTCTTTATCTAATTTTTTACTGAATAGAGATAACTTATGAATAGGGCAAATTACCTGCGATTTTGTGACTATCATATTGTTTGCTCTGCTTGTGTGTTACATCCCCGTCTCCTGAGCTTCGCTTTGTCCCTTCCGATTTCAGACTGCAAGGCAGGGATCGTCTACTTTAGTTTGGTTTGTGTCTAAGACAAATGGGGCCTGTGTTTATAGGTCCTTTGGTGCTAACACTAACCATAGAAATCACAGAATCATAGAAATTAAGGGCTGGAAGGACCTTGGAAGATGGAGTCCAAACCCCTGCTCCGGACAGGAATACTGCTGAGAACGTACTGCTGAGATGAAAGGATCATAGAATCATAAAGACCAGAAGGGACCTGTAACATCAGGGGTGGGCAAAATGCGGCCCACGGGCCAGATGCAGGCCCGCCAGGCCATTCTATCCGGCCCGTGGGGACCCTAAAAAAATGTAGAAAATCAATATACATCTGCTCCTGGCTGCCTGTCACACGGCCCTCGATGGCTTGCTGAAACTCAGTAAGCAGCCCTCTGCCCAAAATAATTGCCCACCCGTGTGTAAGATCAAGTCCAGTCCCCTGCCATGGGCAGGAGGTCATTGGACTCAAATGAGTTCAACGAGGTATTTGTCCAGCGTCCTCTTAAAGACCGCCTGAGATGGCGACTGCACACCTCTGCTGGGAGCATGTTCCAGATTCTAGTTACCCGTACAGAAAAGAAGTTTTTCCTTACGTCAAGCCAAAACGTTTCCTCAACTAGCTCGTGTCCATTGGTCTGCGTCTTCCTGGGGATGGGGGGTGCTTTTCTGAAAAGCTGTTCACCTAGGTCCTGGTGTTCTCCCTTGCCATACTTGTAGGAGACTACCAAGTCGCCTCTCAGCCTTCTTTTGCGCAAGCTGAACAGTCCCAGATCCTGAAGTCTCTCCTCATAGGGCCTGTCCCCCAGGCCGTTGATCATGTAGGTGATCCCGGCAAGAAGGGTAGTACTAGTACTGGCAGACAGAATCCAGGACCACTGTAAGTAGTTGATGGCATTCAGTGGGAAGAACATGAGCATCTTAAGCCAAATTCATCCCTGAACCAACACTGACCTCCATGTAATTAACCACAGGGATGAATTTCGCCTCATCGTCTAAGCTAAAACAGATGTGTAGTACTACATTTCCTCATGCTCGTTCTGTATTTGTAAAGCCTTCAAAATAGACAAGCTCTGAAGTCCATCAGTTATTTTTATCTTCCACAACAACCTACTGTACTTGGCTCATTTCCAATCAGTCTGCCCTCCCGCAGCAGGAACTGACGTTCTACATTTTTTACTTGCCTTCAGTGCTCTTTGTTTTCTAACCCTGGCTTTATTTTCTAAAGCTGTTTTTTCCCCCCAGTATTTTTTTCCCTTTTAGTCAATGCCATCAGTCCACCTGATTGATTAACTTTGAATGTTTACAATTCTGCAAGTGCCTGCTGTATGCCCTTGGTAGCATGACGGAGATAAATGTGACTGTTTGGCAGTTTGTCTTATAAAGATAATTAATCTGAAGTTGTCCAGGCCTTGCTTGCTTTCAAACCTGTAATTTGCCCGTGTCTATAAGAAACTACAAGTACACTCTGATCCAGATTCACAACTCCAGAAGCTGTGCATTTGAGACTAAGCATGAAGTTAGATGCAGCCAAGACATATGTTCATATCTTTCTGATCTGGAGGAAGTCTGCAAATGCCAAGATATTCCATCTTGTTGAGAAAGGTGACTGAGCTGATCTCTCAAAGGGAAAGAAGCAACCGTGAAAGATTTATTTTATTCATCAACTCTTTAATGCCAAACATTGGAGATGGTAGTGGCAGGTCCAAGAAAATTTAGGAAAATTTAGTAGCTAATTTTTCAGCTAAACCAAGTTGTTGTGCTTCTCCAACTCTCTTGAAAAGTGTATTTATTTAAGTGCTTATATGTAATAAATAGGCCCATATTTAGACCAAGGCTAGCTAAACAAATAGCTTCTTGATCTAAATTTGAAAGGCGTTTCATGCATCCGCACCTCCCAGTCAGCTGAAATGAATCCAAAAATCAGGCCACTCATATTTACCTTGCACATTGAATAACTTTTCAAGAACAAATGGTGCATGTTTGTTTGTACAGCTGCAATAACTAGCATTATTGGAAAAGCTCGTGTCTATGAACATCCATTATGTATGCAAGCAGAGAAAACTTTCAGCTAGAGACACTTCACTGCCTCGAGCATAGGAAAGAGGTTGGAATTATGTATCTCTGGAATATAAAGCAGCGTATACAATTGATTTTTTCCCATACATTAATTATTTTGCCCTGCATACCTTGGAAATCATGCAGGCAGAAAGCTCTCATCCTGCAGATGTAAAAATTAAGGGATGTAGAAACATGTTTCATCCATGCCAT